GACACAGTTTAGGGTACAGGTTAGGATACGAAAATGGTTTAGGGTTAGCGTACGTGTTATGGCTCGGCTTAGTGTTAGCGTACAGGTTAGGTTTAGGGCATGGTTTAGTGTGAGGCTAAGGGTTAGGGTTCGGGTTAGGATTAGGATTAGGTTTAGGGTTAGGTAGCGGGAACGGTTTAGGGTAACCCCCCTCCCAACACAGGAGTCCCCACCCCCACCATCCTCTGCCTACGTGCGGTCTCTCGCGATTCTTTCAGTGCCGAGCGGAGGGGCCTGGGGGTTCCGGACGCCTGGGTCACCCCGAGGGTTTCTGCGGCTCCGGCAGCCCCGCCCCCGCCCCGGTTCTCCCGCTCCTCCGAGCCTTGGCTCCGTTCCTCCTCGCCGAGCTTGCCTGGCTCGGTACCAATCTCCCCAGCTCTCCCCCGGGTGTCCTTGCAGCTACCTCGCCAGTCCGCCCCTCTGTGCGCCCTCCTCCCGTGACCTGCACTTCAAGAAGGGAGCTGGGCACTCCCCCATGACCGCCTACGCGACTCAGAAATCGGGTCCCACGGGCTCAGGGGACCCTCTGCCGCGAGGAACTCAGACACACTAAACGGCTGGATACCCGCACGGAGACTGGGGGTCGTACCATCTACGAGGGGGTACCGGGAACTCGGCCGCAAGCGCCAGGCGAGGAGAGTTGTGAGGGTTAGCCTGTGGTCCCCGTCCAGGTGCGACAGGCGGGAAGTCCCTCTGGCCTCGCTACCGTCCGCTCTCAGCTCCCCTAGGGGGAGAACCCCCACCCCCCGCTGGCGTCCTCCTCCCCCCGCCGCCGGCCCTCCGCAGTGGTACGGTCCGCAGCCCACCCTTTGAGTGGGACCCAGCCCCCACGTGAGTCAGCCTGCCTCACCAGCTCCCTGGCCCCCTCCCCCATTTCCTTGGTTTGTTACCGAATATCCCCCATCCCAGGCGGGTTACCTGGCTGAAGGGGAGAGGCTGAGCCTCAGGGAGGGCTGGGCCCCCGCGAGCCAGCAGACTGACAGACAGACAGACAGACAGATGGGTCAGTGTCAGGCCGGCGCTGGGCCAAGGCGAGGCCCGCGCAAAGCGAGCGGCAGCCTCAGCAGCAGGTCCTGAGTCAGCGTCAGGCCCAGTCCCACCCCTACTCCTGAGGGGGCGCCCCTACCCTGGGGTCACCTTAATGCCCCCCACATTCGCAAACCCACCGCCCCTTCAGCAGCTCTGCCTGTCTCCCTTTGTCCTCTGCGTTTCCATGTATCTCTCCCCTTCCTCTTCCTTCTCCCCTCCCCCCATTCTGGTTGCGCTGTAGAGCAGGAATTAAGCCTTTAAATACATTTCAATCAATTAAACTGAAAGCTGGTTAGAGGAAGCAGAAGGGACCCACACCCCAGCTTCCTCTGGAGTCAAAGAGAGGGGGGAGACAGCTTGCTTAGAGGGTCAGGGAGCTGGGGCCCTGGGACCCTCTTCCTTCCCTCCATCCTCCTTTCTTTCTCTCCTCTGATCCCGCCAAGTGTAGCAGTGTTTCTGGGAACAGAGATGTCATGTTCCAAGATGAATGTCTCTCTCTCCAGAGCCTCAGCTCAAAGGCATCGTCACCAAACTGTTCTGCTGCCAGGGTTTCTACCTCCAGGCGAATCCCGACGGGAGCATCCAGGGTACCCCAGAGGACACCAGCTCTTTCAGTGAGAGGGGAAGCCAGCTGCTGGGTGGGAAGCGGGAGCGCAGGGGTAGGAGATGACAGTCCTATTGTGGCTTCAGGTTCTGTTGTTTTCAGTCTGGCTCTTTGACCCCGCAAAGGAAGAAGTAGAACTGGGACCAGAATTGAGGGGGGGCTCAGGTGCGGATTGGAGGCTTGGGGTACTGATACCCCTTCTCTCCACCCCCAGCCCACTTCAACCTGATCCCTGTGGGGCTCCGTGTAGTCACCATCCAGAGTGCCAAGCTGGGTCACTACATGGCCATGAACGCTGAGGGGCTGCTCTACAGCTCGGTGAGACAAGGGGGCAGAGTGGCCTGGAGTCAGGGGACTCCCCTAGCTACAGCCTTCCCAACTACAGATATTTTGCAGCTCAGGGCTTCCTCTCCCTCCAGCTCTTGCCGACACCCTGTCCTCACTGCCCGCTCCCAAGCACCTCCTCTAGCATCCCTCCAATCCCTTCTCCTCGAATAGCCTCCTGAATACCCCCAGGCTCTTTGAATGTCCAACTCTTTCAACCTTTTAGGACCCCTGTGTCTTCTCCAACCTCCTCTAGACCTCATTATGACTCACTTCCCCAGAGTCATTCAGGATACTGGGGAAGGATTCAGGAACTCCTCCAAGCAGAAATTCCCTCCAGGTCCCCTGGATGGTGAGAGGTTGGGAGTAGAGCAGAGAGAAGTTATCTTCTTATCCCAGGCCCCCAGAAGTCTAGTTCCCGGCCCTCGGGGGGCCACCAGACTCTTCCTCCTCCTCCCTTTCTCCCAGTTCCTGCGTGGACTCAGAAGTTGGCTCTCCCAGTCTCAAACGTATGGATTATATCCTGCCTTGTTCTTCCCAGGGCTCCCTTCTGTTCAGTGATGTGTCTTTTTGTCTTTCTGTCTGTGTGTGCCTTTCTGGGTCTTTGTCTCCTCAGCCACATTTCACAGCTGAGTGTCGCTTTAAGGAGTGCGTCTTTGAGAATTACTATGTCCTGTACGCCTCTGCTCTCTATCGCCAGCGTCGTTCTGGCCGGGCCTGGTACCTGGGCCTGGACAAGGAGGGCCGAGTCATGAAGGGAAATCGAGTCAAGAAGATCAAGGCAGCCGCCCACTTTGTGCCCAAGCTCCTGGAGGGTGAGTATGGACCCCCAGGGAAGAGGTGGACCACATGGGACGGTATTGACCTTGACATGGACATTTAGTGACACACAGCTAAGAGGCTATAAGTGTTTTAAGAGGACACATGCTATGACAGGTCAAGCCAGGAAGGCTTTGGCCTTTGGAGGTTTGGGAAGCTCTCCTTCTGTGGGTTCCCAGAGGAGGACTGTAGGGGAAGGGAGCCCTTTCAGAGCTCTCTTGGTGCCTAACTCTCCTTCCTGCTCCTCTCTCTCCCCTTCACAGTGGCTGTGTACCGGGAGCCTTCTCTCCACAGTGTCCCTGAGACCTCCCCTTCCAGTCCCCCTGCCCCCTGCCATGTAGTCCCCGGACTGGAGTATCCCTGCACTCGCCACCACTACAGCCTGTCTCCCAGCCCTGCTTCTGGCCCTGCTCTCACCCCTGCTGCCACCCTCATGCCCTGAGCAGCCACGTCCCACCAGGTGCTCTACCCTGAGGGAGCCTAGGGGCCGGCCATGACTTCCGGGGCTGCTGAGACCCTTAGATCCTTGGGCCCGGGAAAGGGGTCAGAGAGGGGGATGTCTGAAAATGGCCCTGGCTGATCACTTCTTTCCTTCCACACTTATACCCTCCAAAGCCTTTTCCCGAGATGGCGCGGGGGGTTCCAAAACTGACAAAACCAGGGCATAAATCTTCCCCACCCCGGGCTCAGCCAGTTCCTGAAGCCCTTTGCCCTTTTCATGGCCACCAAGCCATAGACTTATAGGTCCACTGCAGCTCAGGATTAGTTTCCTTCTTTCGCTACTCCACCTTTTGCCTTGTTCCAGACAGGCTCTGGAACACCAGGCACCCCAGCCAGGGCCATTTCTGCACTCAGGGTCTGTGCTGGAACACAGGCATGCTGCCAGGCTCTGTTCTGGATCCATCAGGCTTCTGTCCTTCACCCAGATGGACCCCTGGTTTCCAACTAGAGAGAGGCTGGATTTGGGCCCTGTCCAGCTGTTGGTCTTGGCCTGAATTGGGCCAGTCTCAGATCACCACACGTTTAACTTTCTTACCCCAGAGACACCCAGTTCTAGAGCGTGGTGTTCTAGACACATACGGAGCCATACTTCCTTCTGAATCTCAGCTCTAGGACATAGACCACGACTCTCAGCCCTTCCCTCTAGGATGGAACTAGAGCCTATATAGGCATGTTATTGGTCTAGAGTAAGAGTTCTAGACCCACGCTCCCACCTTCTCTAGTGATACCTGTTAAGCAGGAGCTCTGGAAAGGACCCAGCTATGATTCACAAAGAACTAAGTCCAGAACTTCTTGTTTTCCCTAGACAATTTTCCAAAAATCTTATTCTTCGTATAGAATGCTAACCTTATTTTTTTTTTTTTTTTTTTTTTTTTTTTGGGTGTCTAGAGTAAGAGTTCTAGACCCACGCTCCCACCTTCTCTCGTGATACCTGTTAAGCAGGAGCTCTGGAAAGGACCCAGCTATGATTCACAAAGAACTAAGTTCTGGATGGATCATCCAGAACTTCTTGTTTTCCCTAGACAATTTCCCAGAAATCTCATTCTTCCTATAGAATGCTAACCTTATTTTTTACGTGCAGTTTCTAGCTCCTGCAACTCAGCTGGGGCCCTGCCAGGGAACAGAGGCTGAGGAAGGGCAGAGGAGTTTTGGAAGGAATCCCTGGCTCATAGAAGGGCAGCTAGGATGGGAAAGTGGCCAGAACCATGGCATGACTGGACCTGTGCCTGGGTTGGGGGGACATGAACACTTAGCTACCTCAGCAGG